GTCCGACCTCCTGCCCTGGGCAGGAAAGAGTGCTGGGGTAAATATCTTGGGGTAGATATCCCAGCTCTACCCCATTCAAGCTCCCAGTGCTAGTGACTACATACACGGCATGCAACACAGACAGGCCCCAAGGCTCCCGGTACACTACTCAGCTCCCCTGCCCCTGTGATAAGCCAGTAGGGTCAGGGCAGGTTACCTCTTCACACCTGCAACAGGGGAAGCCTGTTTCACGTGACAAGTGGCACGGGGCACGCACTGCTAAGGGGCAGAGAAGCACAACTGCCGAGGTGAGACTGTCTTTGCAATGCAAAGGGATGGGCACACGGATGGATGTGAAGCAAGGGCAGAATTGAGGCAGGCGCCTCTAATATTCACTGACTTCCCTGCCCTCACTTGCTTGGGTTTCAACACTGAGCACTTGACTTCCAAATACCTGTTTGCATTTTAAAATCTTCCAACTCACAGGCTTTTTTAGTAACTCCAGGGTCCTAAGCTGATTGCTTGAAATCAATAGCTCTCCATTTATCACTTCCTGCCTATCTCAGCCAAGGCTTCCTCGGGGATCTCTGCCGTTGGCAATGCCTGGGTATACCACAGCACGTGAACACAAACCAAGCACCAGACCCACTCAGTGTGAACCTACTTAGCCCATTCTGTACCAGTCCTGTGGCATGAGTTCCCTGGGAAACTTCTGCCAAAAGCAGAATGTCGGACTAGATGATCTCTTGAGGTTCCTTCCTCTGTGATTTCTATGACACCCACCCAGGGCAGCGGCTGTCAGGTGATCTCCACCATGCAACGACCCAGCTTGAAACCTGAAATCCCAACCCAACAAGCTGTTTATTTGAAAAGGGTTTCTCTGCCCATATCCTCTGCTGACTCAGGCATCTGCTTCTGATTGTGGAGCCAAAGTCCACTTCAGCTCCCTCAACTCTCTCCATTCCTGGTAACCAGCACAAAGAAATGTGCTGTAGCCCACTTGGGAAAGTGGCTCCCTATGCCCTGGAGCCCTTCAGAATCTGATCCCCCACCTACAGGACTGTCCAGTCTTGCAGAAAAAAAGAAAAGCCCCCGCTGGAGCAACAGCTTGATAACAATTCAGCAGCTTGAAGTTGCAGAAGTCTAGGTAACTTCCCAGCATAAGTTGCATTGACAGTCACCAGACACCAGGCTTCTCAGTCACATTGGTGCTTTTGCAAATCCCACCCAGAGAGTCCAGGTTTGGCCTCAATTGTTCATATTAAGCTTAATCCAGCCTCCATTGCTGCCCCTCTTGCACCCAAAGGTCATGCCTTGGCCTGGAGTTGGTATTTCTCCTCCCTGATCCATCCTGCAGAGGTGACACCTACTGCACTGAGCTCACTCCAGGTGCCTACACAGCAAAACCGAGGTGCACAAACACATCCATGACAGCCAGCATCAGCCACAACAGCAGCCAAAACATTGGGTTGAGCCAAAGCTCAGACCACGAGCACTTCACTGCTTTCATTCCCCAAACAGAGAACTACACTGCAGATCCCAGAGGAGGACTGGCCTAGTACATGACAAGCTTTCTGGTTTCAATCTGACTCACGCTGGCTTCAAGGATCTCCAAGCCCACTGATTTCAAAAGAAGCCATATCTGCTCATACCAGGGCTGGATTCAGTCTGCAGTAAAAAAGGGTGGGAAAGTGAGTGCAGTGGGATAAGTAGGGGATTAAGCACAGGAATGTCCAGGAGAAAATCCCAGCACTGCCACTTGTCCCCTTGAAGACCCTGGAAATTGGCTGAGCCTTGTGCCTTAGTTTCCCTGTTTGCAAAATGAGAATAGTACTCATTTCATTCCTGTTAGCGATGCCAGGCTGACTCAGCTGTGTGTACTCCCCCTCGCTTGTATAGTGTTGAGTGTCTTTGTTGTTTCTCCTGGTTTACGCCAGCGTAAGGGAGAGCAGAGAGTAAGGGAGGCCACAATCAGGTCCTCGGTTATTTGCTGTGAAACACACTCCATGGAAAAGTACCTGATACAACGATGGCTCGGGGCCGTGGTGCAGGTTGGATTTATTGAAAGCTGCTACACGTCTGCTGATTCAGCTGGTAAAGCCATTGATGCAAAGGAACAAAAAAACCAGGAAGAAGGTAGGAAAAGAAAAGAGAAAAAAAAACAAACCACCCAAATCCACCCTACAATCACCTACGAAACATGGCCTAACTCTTTCTGCAAGCATCTGCAAATGACTCTGTGCCCAACAGGGAAAAGCCTATATAAAAGCCCAACGGTAACTGGAAGGAGGTTGTAATAAGAAAATGCATCTCTTGTCTAATTCTTTATTTTTGATTGCAGCTTCTGGTCCAGCCAGCAGCTCTGGGGATATCTTCATTTACAGTATTCCTTCCGGAAATCTGTGAGCAAAGAGGCATGGAGGTTACTGTCTGCACAGGGATTTAATATCAGTCAAATAAGCCCACTGTGACACATAATGCAAATGTACACAGCTGCTATATACCCCCCACCCCGCTCTGTAAACATC